ATTCGCTCAAATTTAATGAATCCTAGCGAAACTATTTTTGGCGCCTAGGCGCGACCCAACCGTCGCGCCTAGGCGCCGGCTGTCTAGAATGTCTAGACGCCTAGGCGTCAGGTAACATTTTTGTCCTTTGGCTTCATTTGACCCATTTGACACATTTTTGCTCTCTTTTTTGTTTCTTTTTCTATTAAACTCCTTTTCTTGTACCTAAACTCCAAACTCCTTTTCTTGTACCTGAAATAAAAAACACACAAAATAACTTTCATTAGAGCGTAATATCCTTAAAAATAAGCATGAAATGCATAGATAAAAAAAATGTAATTTCAAGGCGTGTCATCACCCCATCTTTTAGGATGTTGAATCCAAAAATAATGTCTAGAACAAACCCATGGTTTAGAGCATTGGACAGATAAGAGGAATTTAATGAAAAAATAGAGGAAGAAAAGTGTACAATAACACAAGTTCTAAGATGGTAAATTCAGTAGTCCATTTACTAAGAAATGACCCGCTATTTATAGATAGATCGTAGAGGTATCTAGGAAAGCAATCCCTATTTTAATAGTGAAGTTACAAGTCATTATTACACCTTTTCATATTTTTAACTGACTACGTGACCTTTTAAGATCCATAACTGATGTTGGCACTATTTCGTATTAGTAACTACTTGAACAGAGACATTTAATGGCTCGTCAGTGTATTAATTTGCTCGTTTGATAATCGTTTGATTAGCTAAGAAGTTTTCCGTCAGCCTCCTCGATAGAATCTTCAGTAGATACCCTCCTATTGTTAGAGCAAACATGGACCATCAAACATACAGTATATTACCGTAATTTGACGGGCAGCTCGCCTTAGATAAGTGGTCTTCTAAAAAAATGGAAATATATTCAATAGGGTGCCCTTTGGTAATTTTAATGAATCACAAAATCAGTCAAGGGAGCTAGTTGTAGTTGATTGTCCCTCTGATCAAATGGCTCATATTCTTTCGTTCGACAGAGCTTTCGTTCGATCGGCCCATAGTTCCTGTCAAACGAACTGGCGATTAGCATGTCTGTCTTTTGACTATCCCGATGCATTCCTTTGGGATCCATTTAGTGAGATCCGTTGAATTTCCTCAATATTCATGCAATTATATTTTTGATGTACAACAATGTGTTCCAACTTGTAATCATGCCAAATGCTAATAAATCCCCAATCGTCCACAACAAAACTACTTTTGTCTAAAAAAATTATTTTCTTAGAATATCGTTTATGAGAATGCCTTCTTCCCATTATTAGTTATAATTATCTATGAGTTTGAGTTATGTGGAGTAAGAATAAGGAGGGAGAAAAATGTAAAATGTTATTATGTTATTTTTAGAAGGAAGATTGTAAATTCTTATAATGCTTGCAAGTAAAAATATGACAAGGTTAAATGAATAAATGGTGTGAAACTATTTATATGTAATAGCGGTTTGGCATTTTTTTTGTTCTAAAGTCATAAGAAAATGTGACATCAAATTTCTTCCATGCTTCAACATGGGATTAACGACGGAATGAACACGACTCATGCACTCTCATAATGCGATCTGATACACCCAAAAAAAAACTCATATACAAATAAGCTCTTCAGTCGTTGAACAAAAGGGGGAAAAAAACATTTTATGTAGGACATCATTCTTCTTACGTTGTTTTCCAGTTTATGTTTTTATCCAAGTGCTTTAGTGTCTTGTTTAAATCATATCCTAATAGTGCAACCAAAACATTTATATATATATATATATATATATATATATTCTGCATTTAACTTAGTTTAGACAACAATTCTTTTATCATGTACAAGTTGGTGTCAATTTATTTGTCAGATTAGTAACTTTTAGCTATAACTCATTAAAAGGTTCTCATGAAAGATTAAAAGCTTCTGTTATCAAGTATTCTCAATGCAACCGATAAATAAAAATGGTTAGTGAAATTACACCATATCTGTTATAGTTATTGATGTGTACAACAAAATAATAAGATCTAGCCTCACTTTTAAATAGTTATTGATGACGATATTTTTGATGTGATGTTAATGATTTGAATGTTGTGTATGTACATATAAGAGTTTGAAGGGTAGATATGTAAACACGAGAATTGTGCCCTCCATATAAAAATTATAAGCTAAATTGAACAATTTGAAATAAAATCATTATATATCGATTCAGGGTAAAAATTTAAACTAACAAACTATAAAAATGAAAAAATAGTTTAATTATATTTAAAAACTATACATCTAACGCTCATAAGAAAATGATGGATAATTATATACAGATAACTCGAAATATTAATATTTACAAATTCATAACCCGAGTGAAATTTTTGAACTGCCATCATCAAACAATTGAAAATTTGATAAAAATGAATAAAATGGGCTGGAATTTTAGCATGTACTGTGATATTTGAGTGAGAATTTGAAAAATGGATGGAAGAGGGTGGTTGCACGTTTCAGGTGGTCTAATTGCCCCAAAAAAATAAATAAACCTCACATGTATCTAAATAAAAAATGAAAAACTTATAGAACAAAATATACAGCCATACCAAAAGAATTATCTATATTAAATGTTACATAAAATATACAACCATAAGAAAAGAATTATCTAAATAAAATAGTAAAAATTTACTACATAAAATATATAACCATAAGAAAATGAATAGATCTAACATTACAAAATTTAAATTTATCACAGATGCTAACATTCTCGAGCCCTAAACTTATTTCACAAAAAAACAAGAAAATGTCAAAAATAAAATTTTGAAATAAAGCTTGTAAGAGTGCAAGAGAAAGAGGAGGTAACGCCATTACCTTCGAAATTTTGAAAAATATAATCAAACTGAGCTGAAAAAGAGCTACAACGAAGTAGAGGAGAAAGAACTGAGCAATACGTTTCTATTCGCTCTGGATATTTACAGGTTTTGAAGAACTTGAACGGCGGCACAACCATCAAAATACACCAACACTTAAAACAAGCAAAGCCAAAACCGAGAAATTATTACATGAGGTGTTTACATGGCCGGACAGTCAAACCGGCGACGAACCGACCACAAAATATGCACAGTGATATGGCCGAATTATAGCCATTATCAGGACGTAAGATTCACAGCACATAATAATTTTCTGTAAAATTGGCCATGGAAGCCAATGATAATTCATGCTACAAAAGTTTCCCGCAACTAAACCGCTGATATTGACCGCGAGAAAATTTTTAACAATTTGCGGTAACTGTTCTCGCACTGAAATCTCCTTATTTTCCTATCGTGAAGCCGAAGGCGGACTAAACCCAAAATATAACTATTATGAGGATTGTTATGTCAGCATTCTTATAATACCCTATTCTACCATCGAAGGCACGAAGACCCAGCCCGACTACATGGCAAACGTGCAATGATTACATACATGGGAGGAGGCAACAAGCAGGTGCGGGGTTATGGTAACTTCATTAAAATTAACCATTTTTCCTGAATTTTGATGATGAATTATCTTCAATCATCATCGTTTGTAATTTATAAGCATCCTCCATATTTTAGAGATTGCTGAGTATTTCCTAATCAAAGTTCATAAGTAGGCCTTTATTTGAAGTACTTCCATTAATTTGATCCCTTGGCATCTAGAACTTGAGAAATTCCAAGTAAAACAGGAGGCTTCAAAAATCTTTCCTTCTTATTATAGGAAAAATCCATAATACTAATTAAAGTAATTTCTTTGCCATTGTGAATCCTACTTAGCAATCAAGGATCAAGTTTCTAGTTTTCAGGAGTCCTTGCAAATCGTATGTGCCAATTTCCTATCTCAATAAGCCATCCTTTTGGATCCACGGAAGTATTACAAATCTGGGCAATATAAAGTTCCCATGAAGTTGCTAACAATACCTCAAAGCAAGAATAACTTATTTTTTTAGTGCATATAAGGTTAAGATTTCTAGACTGCTGGCAATTAGGAGAATCAGCCCTGCTCTCACTGTCACAATTTTAAGTGCAGGAAGTCCTTTCAGTGGGTAAAACCACTGAGATCGTTTTTCTTGGTTGCTTCTTCGCAGGATACAACTTCAAGGATTGACACTTTCTGATGCGAATGGAGACAGAATGATATTATCCTAAAATTATAATTGCTGAGACTCATTCCATCAAATGAATTTGTTTTTGTCTTAGTTCCGCATAAGTTTCGTCTTCAGATTGGATCCTTTACAGCCAAAGTTTAAATTGTAAGAAAAGACAACTAGTTCAAGTCGAATTAAACAATGCACATCAATAATTACTACTGGAAGTTCTATAAAACAAATACAAGGCTAAATATCAGAGATATTATTATACCCGGATGAGTGTTATTGGTAGTATTTTAGTGGTATTATCGTAAAATGACACCACAATACTACTAAAAACACCTAAAATACTACCAGTCATACCTACCGAATCAAAATGCGATATTTTCTCTATTTACTAAGGCCAACATCACTTTTCAGGAATAAAAGCACTCATACAACTTCCAAAAATAATTAGAAAATACTCATCAATCTTATACTTTTCTTCCCTTGCAGAAAATTTGATTTCAAATCGTTGTATTACAAAGAATAAAACTTTGCAGTTCGATTGAATCCGCTGGAATGAACATCCAAAATGAGATATAATGATGATTTCATAATTTAAACAAAGCTAAGAACTTCATTATAAGTGAAAAAAAACTACTTTTAGATTGGAAAATTAAAACAGTGATTTTTTTAGAAGTAAATATTACAATAGATCAATTTCTGTTTCTTCAAAAGATTTAAAATAAGTATATGCCCTTTTCTTGCTTGGATGATCCAATTGATTCATCATATGCCACAGGCCCACAAGAAAGAATAAAAGATGAAGATAAAAAATCCAGTTATATAGACTATGAGCTAGACAAAACTATATTGGATGAAGTGCTGAATAAGAATTTTGATGAGAAGTAAAGAAATAAGTAACAAAACAAAATAAATATAACCAAGCCGTGAAGATATCATACAAATTAGAAAGACAAATTATAGATACCATAATGATTTTGGTTAGATGGAAGAACAATCACAAATGGCATATACAAAAGAGTCAAATTTACATCAATATGACGAGAAAGAGAAGTGATAAAACAAACTTCTACAAATCTTCAAATATAAAATTTTAATACTCGATTTAACACAAATTACCAAATTCCTCATTCAACTCTCTGCAGCTGGAGCAGATTCGACGGTCGGCGAGGAAAGGGCCGCAGCCGACAGAGCATCCGTAAGCGCTCGCATCGTCTTCACCTGCATCTCGAGCGCAGCCACGTAGTCCGCCGTTTCTTCCAGAAGGATCGGGGTGGATAGCTTCCGGCAGCCGGGGATGAGCTTCGACAAGAGGCGGAGGCGATCCCTAACCTTCTTACCCTTCAGAGCCGGCGGCGGGTCAAGCGGCGACGAGAAAGAGAAGTGATAAAACAAACTTCTACAAATCTTCAAATATAAAATTTTAATACTCGATTTAACACAAATTACCAAATTCCTCATTCAACTCTCTGCAGCTGGAGCAGATTCGACGGTCGGCGAGGAAAGGGCCGCAGCCGACAGAGCATCCGTAAGCGCTCGCATCGTCTTCACCTGCATCTCGAGCGCAGCCACGTAGTCCGCCGTTTCTTCCAGAAGGATCGGGGTGGATAGCTTCCGGCAGCCGGGGATGAGCTTCGACAAGAGGCGGAGGCGATCCCTAACCTTCTTACCCTTCAGAGCCGGCGGCGGTTCAAGCGCCGCCCCAGCCATAATCTTACGCAGCGGACGCGGAGGCCGCCGTCGCCTGACCTTACCACCGGCCTTGAGGAGCAATTCCCGACGGCGGCAACGGCCGAAGAGGAGGGAGCGGCTCCATCGGGACTGGCCTCGGGCAGTAAGGGCAAGGGCTGAATAAGCCGCGTCCTTGAACGCCTGTGGGCCTGCTGGCGGTGTGCCCCCCGCACCTCCGCCGCGGGTAGCCCGTAGGGCTTCGAGGAGCCGGCGGCCGTAGATTTGCTGCTGGGCTCCGCTTCTCCACTTGGACTCCTGCGGCAATTGAAGGCCAGACCTCGGCTTTTTCCTTGACGAGGCGGAAGCTGCGACAGAGTTGTAGGAAGAGGAGATCATGTCTGGGGCAGAATAATGGACGGAAGGGGAGCCGAAGGAAGTGAAGGAGGGGATGGGTTGCGGGGAGGAAAGAAAAGCTGCTCTGCGCTTTCTTTATCTAGAAATTTAATGGACTTCATTATAATAAGCATGCCTTAATTTTTAAAACTCCTTTTTTTTTTCAGGAGCATTATTGAAGGACGGACGGTAAGGTGATGGAGGCCAGCGGAAAAAGCAATGGGCTCCACAAAGCACCCACCTTTGATAAATTTTTAATGTTTTCCTAAGAAAAGAGATTGAAAATTATGGAATTGATTAATTTAATCAACGCATGTGCCCATGTCCGATATCTTCATCACAAAGTTTCTTGTCCCTGTACTCTATTTATCCACCTTCATTTATTTAGGTGGGATTAAAAAAATTTAATGGAACCGAAATTCGGGTTAACAAATTATTGTGACTCAACTTTAATCATTTGTTATATGAAAATCGTCAAGTTGCATGTCCAATGAAATTTTCGTTCGACCAAGAACTAATCCTGCTAGGTCACCAAAAACAAATCGTACTCAATCTTTAGTAATGATTGGATGAACTCGCCACACAACTCATTTCGCCAACCTAATTTGAATTAGATTTGAAATGCTATATTAGGGTAAGATGGGTTTAGTTGGTCAACAATTTGACCAACCAAATGAGTTGACCGAACCCACTCGACCCATCAGTTCGGTTTATAGGCTACCAAGCATAATCTATGGTGGCTCCTACAATAAATTAGACCAAGAGTCTATTTGAGGCAGATGCATTTGTTTGAAGAAACAACTATGTTGCTGCAGAAGAAAATGTTGTTCAAAAACATGTGGTGGATATTATAATTTTTTGTTAATTTTCAAAAAGTTAAACCAGAGCTTTCAAATATTCCTCAAAACTTATGACTCATTTGAGCGGTTATTTTGCATACTTTCCATCGTAGAGACCGTCAATAGAATGCTTGTCATTTCTTTAGCTTGCCAATTTTATGAGAAGCGCTTATAACAGAAAGAAATTTTTTGTTATTTTGGGATCACGATGTCTAACCGTTGTTCTGCAAATTCAGACGTCTGTTTGGCTATATTGGAAATGGAAACGTCCATAATACCCTCAACTAGTATCTCCTCTAAATATTGGTCTGAGGTTAGGAGTTCTCAGAAGGGAATGTATCACACTTGGCTAATTACATCTTGTGGGATAACCAAGATACTCTTGATAAAAGGAGCCTTGTTTTATATTATAGACATGGGAAAATTGGTCACCTAAAAAATAATATTCTGTATGGGAATGCCCATATGCTTCAAAGCTCTCGCTAACTGATTAGGCTGAGGGTGAGTCTCTCATAACCCAAATGGGCAATGGCTCATTAGCACATAGGACCCACAAAATAAGCAACATTAGCTTGACGGAGCTATCCCAAAACGTCGAAGAACGTCCAGGCCATAAAGGTAGAGAAAAAATCGTCCTATCTTAAATGAGCGACAGCTCATCGACATTAGGCTATCAAGATGATAACCACGAAGTCAATGAGCGATAGGGCTCAAAGTGGCTTAATGATACATAGAAAATATATGCATTTTTAGACACATATTTTTTACTCATTTTTTGTGATATTACACTTTAATAGAAGGTATTTTGATGTTTTCTTGCAGGTTGTTGATTTTTAGGGCTTAAAGTAAAAAGAAAGCAAAAAGGATGAAATTTAGAATCAAAATTAAGTTTTTGAAGAAATGCTCAGCGTCGGCAGCGCCGACGGCGCAGAACAATTTAACACTGGAGATTTTTTACTCTGTGCTGACGGCGCTATACCAGCGCTGACAACGCCAAAGGCGGTGCAGACCCCGTTTCTAGAAGGTTCGATGTATTTGGACGATTTTCTGAAGAGTTTTTGGAGGCACCTCTTGGAAAACCGACTTTAGGCTCTATTTGGGGCTGAATTTCATCAGAAAATTCGCTCCTCTACGTTTTTCACTCCTCTACGTTCATTTTTCACTCCACATCATTTCATTCCACTATCATATTGGAGTCAATTAGTGATTTTGGTTTCATAGTTTAGAGTTTTTGTGGTGAGATTTGGTGTGAAACTATCTGTAACTGAGTTGGAGAAGGAGAAAAGTGAGAGAGTTCTTCTTCCTGCATTTTTAAGGAAATACTAGAAAAGATTTACTTTGAGAAATAGTTCTAAATAAGTTTGTTTGTTTATTTAGTGTTGTATGAACTTTATTTTATATATAAAATTTTTGTTTTGTAATATCTTTCTCATGAAGTCTGAGTAGTTCCCTCTATTTTTCCCCATACTCTGAGATATGGTGAAATGAAGAGATAAAATGAATATGTTATAATTAAAATATAAAATAAATTGTGATGATTTTTCAACTCCAAACTTAATTTACTTTTCAGCATGACCAATTGATTTGTTAAAATATGTTGTGAAACATATGATTTGGGAAATGGAGTATGAGTTCAATAATTATGCGTTCTACAAAAGAATGAGGATCGCATTTGATTTCATGAAGGAGAAAATTCGTTCATAAAATTAAGTGCAAATAAATAAGGTGCAAATAAATAGAGAAATATTCTTTGTTGGGTGTAAAATTGAAGAATCTTTAGGGTGATAAACTAAAATCTCTAATTTAGTCTTAGTGTTTAAAAACTAAAGCGAGAGTTAACCTTCATGTGAAGGGAAGTGGGAGCTTTGGAGTGGGAGCCGGTATCCTCCTAGCCTAGCCACGGATTTAGGGACTAAACCTAAGATTAACCAATAATTTTTATGCACTGCATAAGGGTAGAGAATTAAAATTGCTCCTATTTGATACAATCCATATTAAAAACATTTATTTCATCTCATTTCACCAAAATTTCATTGCAGTGGGAAGGATGTTTTTTCACATAAGAAATCTTCTTTACCTAAACATAGTTCTTAGATTAGTATTTAATATTTGAAAGTTGCATTTTCGTTCTTGCTAATAGTTAAGTAATTTAGTTTGGTTAAAATCTCAACATTCGAAATTAGTGACAGTGATTTCGTTTGATTTTCTATAAATTTCCTATTAAAATTTATCATTGCTAATTTACACCTTCCTCATGGGATCGATATTTGGGGCTTAAATAGAAAGTCCATTATTACTTGATAACGATACGATACTTGCGTAGAATCTGATTATTAATTGTCTATAATTATATGTATTTTACAAAACTTACTTTTATATAAGGTTCAAGTTTTTGAAGCTGTAGTGGTGTCAACTTCATAAATCCTTACATATAAAAAATTCGAGATTAAGTTTTTGGCTTCATTAGTATGCGCGGGGATGGTAACGATTAAATTTAGGTAAATTAAATAGTTTTGATAAATTAAGAAAGTTAGAGATAATATATATACTATAAAAATCTATAAAAATTAAAAAAAAAATAAAAAATAGAATATATATATACTATACAAATATATAAAAAAAAACAAAAAAAGAGAAAATATAAAAAAAATCTAAAAAGAAATTTAATTAAGATTGTATTTTTAAAAAAAATTTACCTTGCTTGCTTTATTTGCTTATGCGAAATAATGGATCTAAAGGTTTAGTACCTTACGATTCAGAATTAGAACGTACTATTAGAAAAATTCGAAAAAAAATAAAGAGAAACTAAGAATTTGAAAGAAATGGCAAATAACTTATAAAATCCTATAGAAGAGAATCGACAAAGACCTTTGAGTGAGAATTGACAAAGACCTTTAAAAGATTATGCGAAGCTGACAGCAGATGAATTTCACACGACAGCAGATAAACTTCATTTAACTATTCAAAATCGTGATGTTGTTATTAATTCATTTGAACTTAAACCTACTATTATCCAAATAGTACAAAATAATCAGTTTGGAGGATCATCTACTGAAGATCCTAACTTACATCTTGCTAGTTTTCTTGCAATTTGTGCTACATTTAAAAATGACAGTTTTCTTGAGATTTGTGCTACATTTAAATATAACGAAGTGTCTAATGATGTTGTTAGGCTTAGACTTTTTCTTTTTTCATTAAGGGATAAAGCCAAGGCTTGGTTACACCTAGATCTATTAGAACTTGGGGAGAACTATCACAAAAATTCTTGGCTAAATATTTTCCACCCTCGAAAATAACTAAAACCGCTAAGCTTAGAAATGATATTACATCTTTTTGTCAGTTTGAAGGAGAATCGATATATAAAGCCTGAGAAAGATTTAAAGATCTTCTTAACTTTAAGGATCTTCTTAAACAAATGTCCACACCATGCTTTGCCAGATTGGTTAATAATTCAAACCTTTTACAATGGATTGGTAGGATCATTAAAATCTACTATATTCTTTAATTGAATAAATGACTACTAATAATTTTCAATGGCCCTTTGAATGGTAAATCCTAAGAGTGTCAAAAACTTTTGATGAAGCATATTCTTTAATTGAGGAAATAACTATTAACAATTTTCAATGACCCTCTAAAAGAGTAAATCTTAAGAGAGTAGTGAAGATGTTAGCCAGTATTCATGATTTTGATGCAATGTCTATTTTGGCATCTCAAATTGTTGCTACTTCTAAAAAGATTAATCAAGAGTAAACTATTCTCAAATACCCCCAGTATTAGAGGAAAATTCACTATGACATATTTTTTATACTCAACCATCTTATGAAACTTTAAATACTATAAATAATCGAAATAAGAATCCATATTCTAACTATTTTGACCCTTGATGAAAAAATCACCCTAATTTTAGCTGGAATAATTAAAACAATCCGAATCTGAACAATCAAGGAAATTCTATTTTTTGACCTTATTATCCTTCAGGATTTAACTCCAATCCTAACACACAAATTAAGGAAAAAAAGTTGACAATGGAAGAAGTGATGTTGAATATGGGAAATCAAATACAGAATCAATGGGCTGCTATTAGAAATATTGAAAATTAATTAAATCAAATACGAAATCAAATACAGAATCAATGGGCTGCTATTAGAAATATTGAAAATTAATTAGGACATTTTGCAGCTGCACTTAGTAACCGACCTTCTGGAATTCTTTCGAGTACATTGGAAGTTAATCTAAAAGATCAAAATAAAAAGCAAATTAAAGCTATTCAATTACGAAGTGGAAAAGAAATTGAAACAAGAATCTAAAGAGAAACTG